AAACTGAGGCCGGGCGCCGGCGCCGCCCCGGTTTCCTCAGCCGCGGGGCTCAGCGCGGGGGACCCCAGCCCGGGCTTCCCGCTCCCGACCGGAGCGTGTCTCCGGGACTCAGTTCCCCCCCGCGGACCACGCCGGGGGGGGGACCGGGACCCCAGGTCTGCGCTAGGGCGGTCGGCCGCGCCCCTCTGTGAGGTTGGGCTTGGAAGGCCGGGCCCGGGCTGGGGTCGGGGCCCGCCGCCGCCCCCCCTCCCACAGCGCTGCTGTCCCGGGCGGAAGAGCGAGGTCGTGAACTCCAACCCCGGCCTGCGCCGCTCAGGGCCGGTAGGCTCCCGCCGCCGGCCTGGCTGGGGGTCGGGCGCCCCGCGGCCCGCCGCACGCACGCCCCCTGCTGGCCAGACACAGCCCCGGGTCTCCGCGCTCGTCCCTGGGACGGGCGGGGCGGGCACTGTAGGGCAGGAACCCACTTCTGCTCCCCAGGAGGCTGGAGCCGGAGCCTGCAGGGTGCCGGGGAGATAGCCCCGGAAGACCCAGGGCGATCTGGTTCCGTGGGCAGGAAGCCAGCGCTGGCTCTGGTCTGATGCCCACTTTGCTGTGTCCCCGCCGAGGGCCCTCGCTGGCTAGTACAGGTTCCTCCTCAGGGAGGCCCAGGCAGGGAGGACAAGGCTGGCAGTGGCTCCTTGGGTGTGTCCCTGGGTGGCTGGAGGCCAGGCCCTTCTGGAGGGCTCAAGGACACTCCAGGGGCTCTAACCCTGGGTCTCGGAGTTAGCCAGCTTCCCTCACCACTGCCACAACTCCCGCACCAGCCAGTTCCTGGCAATGGCAGAACCAATGCCAGGACCTGAGGCCAGTACTGACGGTGGGAGCTCTTGCCAGGATGGTGTAACTAGGAAGCTTCCCTAAGGAAGGCCCACACCGGGCCGCTTACCAGAAACCAGACTGGCCACAGAGCCCTACGGCCAGCAGCAGTGCCCACCAGTCCACAGAAGGGACAGGAAGAGGACCTTTGACCCAGCAAAGAAACGTTCAGAAAGAAAAGCTAGCCTCAGCCTTAGGCCGGAGAACACCTGGGGCCAGAAGGCAATCAGCCTGGCTGGACCCCTGGCGTGGGCAGGATTAGCTTCATGCCTGGAATTCCCAGGCCCGCTGCAGTTCCCTGGAGACCAGGCTTGGGAACAGTAGGGAGTGGTGGTGGTGGTTTGTGGAGGGCAAGACAGCCTGTTTATGTGAGCCAGGGTTCTGGAAGGAGGCCTTCTCAGGCCGCCCCCAGCTGTGGGGGGTAGAAAAACAGCAGAGGCGGATGCAGGTTCTGAAAGTTTATTGGACAGCGCCGGCCTAGAAGAAGGTGTTGGGCCTCTTGGTGGTGAAGCGAGGCTTGTGCTGGCGCCGCAGGACGCGGTGGGGCAGTGGAAACTTGATCTTGGAGTCCTGGGAGGAGGAGAGCGGGTGAGGGGCCTGGCCTCTGTCCCCTGGGTCAGCCAGCTGTGGCGGCCCCCGTGGGACGCCTGCGTCAGTCCCCCACCCCAGGCACTCACGTGGAACTGCTTCACGGCAGGCCGGCGACACTTGCTGGCTGCGATCTCCTCCACCTTCATGATCTGGATGGAGTGTGCGCGGGCGCGGTGCCGGGCACCCATGTCGCGGTCTGTGGGAAGAGGGCGTCAGGCCCGGCAGCCCTGTGGGCTGGGCCCAACCGGCCTGGTCGTGGGGTGTAGGGCCTCAACATTCACTCCGCGGGGCACAGCACAGCCCCCAAAGGCGACGAGGCCCACTTGCTGTGCGCACCTCGGTTTAAACTGCGGCTACCACAAGCAGCAGTTCTTGGGTTTGGGTGCGAGGAGGGGGAGCGTTGAACTCCCCAAAGCCCTTCGGGAGGGTGCGGGGTGGACTGGGGACTCACAGCACTGGGTGACGGCGCCCGCAGTGGTCAGGTCTCGGTACTCCCGGTACATGTTGTGTGTGCCGCTGCGGGAATCATAGCGCAGCCAGATACCAAAGTTCTTCACGCGCAGTGGCGTCTTCTCGAACACCTGTGGCGGAGGGGAGAGCGTGAGGGGTGAGGAGAGGCAGGCGTGCAGACCCTTCCCAACCTTGCATGCCCGTACCTGCCCGCAGTACACGATCTCCCCAGAGGACTTTTTCATCTTCTTGAGCTGTGACACGAAGTACCAGAAACGGGACTTGGCCACCACGTGGTTGGGGGCGAAAATGCGCATCCTGTACAGGGGTGGCGTGTGGCACTTGGGGGTGGGCAGGCAGCGGCCCACCACCTTGTACTCCCGTAGCTGAAAGGAGAGACTCCAAGTCGAGCTGGAACCGGTGCTCCCGCTCAGACACCGGCCAGGCCCGCCTGCAGGCTTCGCAGGGGCCCGGGCGCTGTGCCCCGGCCGCCCACTGTGGGGGGACACGAGGCGGGCCGGCCACCCGCGTTCCTCTGGAGGGTTCCCGAGTGGAGCCGGGGTTCGTGGCGAGAGCACTCAGCCCCATGCCGAGTCCG